TCATCATCGGGGGACGAGCGTATAACACCATCCTTCATCTTAAGGCAGGCGCCGATGCCCATTCCCTTCATCAAAGGACGAGCGTCCCTAACGCCTTCCTACATCTTCAGGACTGCGTCAGACCCTCGGTCCTTCAACGTAATCTTTTATATAACGCCATCCTTCATCTTTGGTCTCAACGTGATCTTTTATATCGACACGGCTGACCCTCAGTCTCAACGTAATCTTTTATATCGACACAGCAGACCCTCGGTCTCAATGTGATCTTTCATATCAACACGACAGACCATTCGGTCTCAACGTGATCATCATACTCTAAAGACCAGCCTCATCCTCTCACTTTATGGATGAGGACCGTTGCTCGAACTTTTGGATCAGCCTCTCAGTGCTGACGTCCATACATCACGACCGACCCCTCGGCCTCGGCGTGATGATTTATCTCAAGACCGCTCCCCAATGCCGAAGTCTTGTTATAGCGATCGGGCTCACCATCCCTTCCTGGATGGGGACCGTCGCCTTTATATGACGGCCGAGTCATCATCGCCTCGTCATCATATTTCGGATTGGCTCCTTCTCATTGCCATCCGCACATCACGACCCTCCCTTTGGCTACGGTGTGACTATCTACATCAGGACTGGCTCCTCAGCGCCAAAGTCTTGATTTAGCGATCGGGTTCGCCATATCTGCCTGGATGGTGACCATCGCCTTTATATGACGATCAACTTCATCAGCGTCGACGTCCTCATATCACGAATGACCCCTCATCCTCTGTATGATTCTATATCTCAAGACCGGCTTCCTCAGCGCCGAGTGTCTTGAGCTAGCGATTGGGCTCGCCGTCCCTTCCTGGATGGTGACCATAGCCCACATATGACGATCGGCTCCATCATCGCCTCAACATCATTTATTGGACCAACTCCTCAAATCAGTCATCCTCAAATCACGAATGGCCCTCAACCTCAGCGTGATCCCATATCTCAAGACCGGCCTCCTCAGCGTCTTGAGCAAGCGAGCGGGCTCACCATTCCCTTCCTGGAAGGCGACCCTCACCTTCATGTGACGAACGACCCCATCAGCGTTGTCGTCATCAAAAGATGGGAGTCCCACGTCTCTCTTCATCTCAAGACCAGCCTCCTCAGCGCCGAGCGTCTTGAGCTAGTGATCGGTCCCGCCAATCCCTTCCTAGATGGCGGCCGTCGCCTTCAGGTGACAAACGGCTCCATCAGCGCCGTCGTCATCAAAGGACGGGCGTCCAACACATTTCCCTTCATCAAAGGACTGACTTCATCAGCGCTGACGTCATCAGATCACGACAGACCCCTCGGTCTCAACATGATCAACTACATCAGGACCGGCTCCTCAGAGCCGAAGTCTTGATGTAGCGACCGGGCTCGCCATTCCCTTCCTGGATGGTGACCGTCGCCTCTATATGACGATTAGCTCATCATCGCCCCGTCATCATACTGTATGATGATCGGCTTCATCAGCGCTGACGTCCTCATATCACGACCGTCCCATCGGCCACGACGTGATTATCTACATCAAGACTGCCTCCTCAGTGCCGAAGTCTTGTTATAGCGATCGGGCTCTCCATCCCTTCCAGGATGGGGACCATCGCCTTTATATGACGATCGGCTCCTCAATGCCGACGTCCTCAAATCACGAACGGCCTCTTAGCCTCGGCGTGATTCTATATCTCAAGACCGGCTTCCCCAACGCTGAACGTCTTAGGCTAGCAATCAGGCTCGCTATCCCTTCCAGGATGGTGACAATCGCGTTTACATGACGACTGGCTTCATCATCGCCTAATCCTCAGATCACGAACAATCCTTAGTCCTCGACGTGATTCTGCATCTCTAGACCGGCTTCTCCAACGCTGAGCGTCTTGAGCTAGCAATCGGGCTCGCCATCCCTTCCTGAATGGTGACCATCGTCTTTACATGACGGTCGGCTTCATCATCGCCTCATCCTCAGATCACGAGTGGCCCCTCGGCCTCAGCGTGATTCTCCATCTCAAGACCGACTTCCCCAGCGCCGAGGGTCTTGAGCTAACGACTGGGCTCGCCGTCCCTTCCTGGATAGTGACCGTCGCCTTCATCTGATACATAACTCATCACCACCGTCGTCCTCATGTTCAGACAGACATCCACCGCCTCATCCTCATGTTCAGACAGGCGTCCATCGCCTCGTCCTCATATTCGGACCAGCTCATCAGCGCCGTCATCCTCATCATCAGACGGGCATCCCCTCAGCAGACGGACACCGTTACAGCTCCACAGCTAGGCCGAAGAGTTCGCAACTTTTGCTTCATTTTGGGGGCATCCGATGTACTCTTTTTCCCTCATTAGGATTTTTTCCCAAAGGGTTTATCCTAATGAGGTTTTTAACGAGGCATCTCCCCATCGTGGATCAAAAGGTGTCGACCCTCGACCCCCTGTTGAAGACGTACATTGCTCTACTCCCTTTCGCCTCGAGTATTCTCGCCTCAGGCAGTGGGGGACTGGGGGACTACATCGGCCTCCAAACGCAAGGATGAAATTGGAAATCCAAGAACGCACAAGTATACAACTGCAACGACATCGTATCGTCCATGCACCACAACGTCCAGGACCTTGTGGTACACCCTTGGCAAAACACGCAAACTTGAAAAATTTTATTATTCCTCAGCTACAGTAAGGAAGCCACCGGCGGGATCACGACAATTACTCCTATTTCCCTCGAAAAGGCTCTCAACAAAAGGAGTGGGGGACTCCTGATGAAGTATATGGACCAGGAATCCCCAACCCTCATACTTCCACTACTACGAACATGCCCAACATGCCCAAGTGGCCCAAACACAGCAAACAAGACTCCGGACAGCCCATACTACAACAAGGTGTTGCCTTTGGCCCCATGCCCGAAGGCTCCGTATTCGAGAAACAGTTACACTTGGGGACGTACGGCTTTCAACACATGATGCCCCCCGGCTACGTACGGCCTTCGGCACATGAAGGCCTCGATACGTACAGCCTTCGGCACATGATGGTCCCCGGGGACGTACAGCCTTCGAAACATGAAGGCCCTGGGGTACGTACGGTCTTCGGCACATAACGGTCCCTGGGGACGTACGGCCTTCGGCACATGAAGGCCCCCGGGGTACGTACGGCCTTCAGCACATGATGGCCCCCGGCTACGCACGGCCTTCGGCACTACCCCGACAAGATCTCCTCCCTGCACGCTCCAGATCGCCACATCGAATGCGGTGTCACATCCAACCACCGCATTAAATGCAGTGTCACATGCTCTGTCGGCGCCACCCTGGTTGAGTCGACCCTCCACCGTTGATTGCTTGACACGTGTACTCGCATTAAGTGCGCCTAGCATTTATGGCTGATATAAATAGTATCCACTCTCCCATTGTAAACGATCGAACATTTTGGAAATTCATTAATACATATCACTTCTCTCTCTAGCTCTCCCTTCTCTCTAAGAGTTAATACTCTACCAAAAAGTATAGTTGGAAATGGAAATATGCGTAAGAAAAGTGAAGAGAAAACAAAACATAAAGTTCCAATTTTTAAAGTTATATCCGAAACTTGTTCACCATTGTTCAATTTAATTTTAGTTTATACTTTAGAAATTATCTTGAATAGGAGTAAAAACGTTTTGAAATTTTAAAATAGAGCTTTCATGTCATTATTACCTAAATATGAGCAATTGCTAAACAAAGTATACCATATTTAATTTTCTTGACATTATTATTATTATTCAAAGTAAACTCAAATATATAAATATAAACTTTTTTCGCATTGTATTTTTCAGCCACTAAAATTTTCTAGGATACCAACATTATTACGAAAGTTTTATGGGGTTTTTATTTCAATATTTCTTTAATTTCCAAAAGTGTGACTAATGAACATTCAATTTACTAAATTACCCCAGCCCATACTCCAGTGACATCGTTCACAGTGACACAGTGACACCGTCACAGTGACGCCGCCACAGTGACGCCGCCATTGTGACACCCGATTTTTTCAGTGACGCCCGACAGCACCGCCACCGTCCAATGGCCGCCTCCACCGCACCGCTTCAAACCACCGCCACCGTTGTAAGCAATGCCAGCAAACCACCAGCCCCCAACCCATAGCCCTTGGCCACCAACCTCCATCTTTGGCCCCAACCCTAGTTTTTCCGCCGTCCTCTGTCCTAACCTCTGCCAACAGCCGCCCCAGTAACCCTATCCTTCGCCCCTTCATCTCGGCCATGTCACTCTACCAAATCCCTAGCCGGCAGACATCGTCGGATGTCGCTATCTCTCTAGATCGATGAGCGTCAGCGTGAGCTATCCGAATCGAAGCAGATCAAAGGTCTCATGCTCTAGATCCATAGGCAGCGGCGCTCTCCGAGTTGAAAGAGATCGAAGGTCGCTACTCTCCAGATCGATGGGATCGATTGCGAGCAGAAGAAGAAAGGAGACACGACGGGATCGATTGCGAACGGAAGAAGAAAGGAGATGCGACGAGATCGATTGCGAACGGAAGAAGAAGCTTCGGCGTAGGTGTGACGAGAGGGCTGAAGCTGCGACGAAGCGATGCAAACGGAGGGTTGAGAACGGACGCAAAGATAGCTACGACAAAGAGATGAAAAAGAGATGGCTGGGAAATTAAGGGCATCTTGGTCTATTCAGTCTAATTCGGTCACTTTTTTGTCCTATTATAAAAGTGGTCATATTTTTGTCTACTAAAAGGTAAGAAGTAATATACGTGCCATTATTTCAATTTTTTATCATTATGTTATATAGATCCTCCCAGTTGAATGAAAATTTCAACACGATTTACCATTTAACAGATTTAATAAAATATGCAATTTCTATAAAATCCAGATTGTTATATACATATACTAATTAGTCCAGGGGCGGACCCAGAGATTTGTGAGAGCAGGGGCACACTAGACACTAAACTTAATATATAATAAAAACTTCAAATGTAATAAAAATGGTAAAAACATGTATTAAATTATACGGAAAAGTTAATTACATATTAAATAGTCAACTACTACAACTGTGGTAAATCAAGCATACGAGTTTTCATATTCTGAAAATGTTGCATAATAATTTCATTATCAATGCTTCTAAAAACATCTCTCTCGATGTAGCACACCAAGCAATCCGTAAGATAGTCATCTCTCATCTTATTGTGAAGATCTGTCTTGATAATATTCATCACAGAGAAGACCCTTTCAATGGTGGCTGTTACAACTAGTAATACTAAAGCCAACTCAATCAGACGATATACTAAGTGAAAAGAATTGTGAACTTTAAGCTCAACCATCTTTTTACAAACTTCACTAATAGTTTGTACGCCAGAAAATAATTCATTTGTTCTCATTTCATATATCCACACCTGAAGTTGCTCTTTCAGCTCCATTTGATCAATAAATGAAAAATCGCATGAATATAACTCCACTAGGTTCAGTAGCTTTGTCTCACAGAAATTGGAGAACTTATCTCTAGGATCAAGACATGCTAAACAAGTGAGTAATTCTGTGTTTGACTCACTAAAGCGATTCTCCATCTCAAGACTGATCTGATCAATAACCTACAATGAAAACAATAGTAACAATAATAAAGTCAAAACAAAAATAATAATAATAATAATAATAATAATCATCTTGAAGTACCTGGCAAAATATATCAACACGAAAGTGGTGATAATTTGTTATCGGGTGACGAACACGTCTAGAACGATGATTCATCTCTTTCATGTTAAGAATGTCAATTTTGTTCTTGACACAAAAGCTATTGACATCTTCCAAGAGATCATTCCATCCACTTTCTCTCAGATCTTGAAATTTAGCTTTAGTGCTTTTAACTAAGCTCACAACCTCGATAATATTTTGATCTTTTTGTTGCAAGAAATGCGAGAATATATTCATCAATCCCAGTACTTTATTCATCAACTGAGCAATAAAAACAAACTGATAACTCTCCATCTTATCTGCCTAGCTACTGGCAGTGCCTCTCGATTTTAGATCAGTTCCATCATCAAATATATTGTCCAAAACTTGAATTGTAGGAGACCACATAGAAAGAATACGAATAATGGTTGTATGATGTGAACCCCAACGTGTAGCTCCCGGCCTAGCTAAACTACTCTCTTGATTCAATCCTCTCCCAGTTGTAAGCTCACCCTTTTCTAACATCTCTACCATGACTTCATGTTGCTTTTGCCGAAACTCGTCTTTTCTCTTACAAGAAGATCCTACCATGTTAGTAATCATGGACAAATATTCAAAAAAGTCACTCACAAACTTATTATTTTGTGGAACAACCACAACAACTAATTGCAATTGGTGAGCAAAGCAATGAATATATCTTACATGTGGATTTGCATTCAAAATAAGAATCTTCAATCCATTAAGCTCACCTCGCATATTAGAAGCTCCATCATATCCTTGACCTCTAATTTTGGACAAAAATAATCCATGCTTAGCAAAAAAATCAACAATGCCACTTTTCAAAGAAAGTGCAGTAGTGTCATTAACATGTTTAGTAGTGTCATTGACCTCACAACAATTTCCATTTGCTCTTTCACAGAATTATCACGAGCTTCATCAATCAACAAAGAAAAGAATTTGTCACCAATATCACTAATTATGACTTTTAATGTCTCTGATGCACAAGAACAAATAAGGGGTGTTTGGAACCGATCCTGCTTCTCCTTCTTTTTTAAAGCAGAAGCAGAATCAGAATCAGTTTTCAGAAGCTGGTCATCCTAAGCTTCTAAAAAACTGATTTTAGGGGTAAATTAGAGCACCAGAATCACTTCTGCACTTTCACCCGAACACTCCAACTTCTGCTTATGCTCCCTAAAAGAGCAGAAGCAGTTTTAAGAATCAGATCCAAACACCCCCTAATATCCTTTTGAATCTTAAGACTAGTAAGTTGGTGGTTTGATGGTGAATTAACTTTCACAACCTTCTCAACTTCAACATTGCGTGCACTATACCAATCAAGCAATTCCAAGAAATTTCCTCTATTCGATGATGTTTCTCACTCATCATGTCCACGAAAATCCAACCCTTGTGCAATTAAAAATCTTGCACAATCCACACTTGCATTCAAACGGATGCGATATGCAACACCCAATGTTTGTATTCCTGAAGCCACACTTCTTGAAAGGCTTTGTTTTTTATTCTTGTGGGGACTAGTTACAATTCTTACATGTTCTCAAAAGCTTGCAGGACTTTTCTTCCAATTACGAAATCCGGTCCTCGTAAATACATCGTCTCCAAATCTCCTCCCTTCTACCCCATGGAAAAGGTAACATCAAAAGCAAAATGCGGCATCTTTAGAAACACTATATTCTAACCATTCCCAATTTTTAAACCATTCCGCTTGAAAATATCTCATTTTTTCCCAAATAAAGTTTGTGGAAATTTATGAGACAACAGTTGACAAGCACCTTTAACTACATATGCTCTCATCACATCATCTCTTACTCGAGGCTCATACTCATTTATTGGCTTTCGTAACGCTGGATCGCTAATGATATCCAATTCAGACGTACTATCTGTGCGGGCTCTTTTGTCTCCTCTTATGTCATTAGACGCATCTCAAACAGTACTTACATTCGAAGCAACAACAATTGCATTACTTGAGATAGACTGATTAGCAACATTTGAAGAACTATCTCCTAGTGTTAAAGACCTCTTACTCCGAATTACAAATTTATCCAAACTCATTTTCCTAGTAAAAAAGAAAAATACAATAAAATCTAATTAAATCAATTTATGCATCCTAATTATTCACTAAATTAAAAGAAAAAAAAATCTTACAAATTAGAACCCTAACTCCTAATTAGAGCGCATTCACAAATTCAAACTATCAAATTTCAAGTAAACAAACAATTCTCAATATTCTTGATTATTAGCGATTGTAATTTTTAAAACAATCCTCTGTCGCAACTAAGAAGCAGGTGCCGTAATCCCGCAAGTACAGAATAAATTAGAAATAAACTTACAAACCTCACCTTTGGAGAACTTCTGCTTTGCCGTAATGCCGTCCGTACGTTTTTTTAGAGAGCTTTTTAGCTTCCGCTTGGTTTTGCCGTAATGGACTAATGCCGTGAGTCGCCCGTAGTGGGGTTCATTCTAAACTTTTGATGGGGTTTAATTCTAAACTTTCGTTAGTGGGTTTTGTTTTAGTGGATTTTGGAGAGCTATTTAGCTTGGTGTGGTTTTGCCTTAATTATTATTTTAGTTTTTTGATAATTCTATATCTTTTATTTTAAGTGAGCTAAAATTTAAACATTTTGTATTATTTTTTTATTTATATAACTGTAATATTTTAGTATCTTAATTATCAAATATTGGTATGAAGCGGACACTGATTTTCATCTTAAATGCTACTAGTGAAATTTCGGACCTGAAGCAGGGGTATTGAGTTTTACCTTAAGTACTATTAGTGAAATTTCGAGCCCGAAGCAGGGGCACGTGCCCCACCTAGCCCCTCTAGATCCTCCACTGCTAATTACTGAATCCATTCCATTCTCAAACTAAATATGTAAACTAAATATGTTATATACATATACTAATTACTGAATCCATTCCATTCTCAAACTAAATATGTAAGAGAAAATTCCCAGTTTAGGAGTAAAACTTATTAAATATGCAAAAACAGGACTCCTATCTAAGAGTGTAGTTTGCCATACGGAAATTATAAGTAAGGGACAAAAATGCCCTTAATGAATAGTCAAACTTAATTAGTAAAAATACAAAATAGAATAATAAACTAATTAATGCATTACACAACAAGTCAACAACGTATTTTTCCTTCCCCAACCACAAGTTACCGTCGACACCATCCAGGGGCAGTACCTGCACCAGTAACCGCCGCCCCTAACCACCGCCCGATGCCGCCACTTGACGCCGCCGCCAGATGCCGAACGTTGCCGTTGTCGGACGCCGCCAATCTCTGCCGTCGCTGGACACCGCCAGTCTTCACCGTCGTCGGACGCCGCCGGTCTCCGCTGTCCTTGACGCCGCCACCACCACCATCTTCGCCGCTGCCTTGTTCCAAGGTCACCACCGGTCATCTATTATTCCGACGCCGCCATCTCCATCCCCTAGCCTCACATTTGAAAATTAAGAATGTTGTAGAATGACAATCTGATATTTATTTATTTATTTTTTAATTTTTTTACTCTAAAATTTTAAATTTAATGAATTTGGATCTGAAAAATATATAATAATGTTTATTTTTCGAAAATGGCAAAATTATTATAAAAATGCAATGTTTTTCAATATGTTTGGCAAATAATGTCATTTTACATTTATTAATGTTTTTCAATATGTTTGGCAAATAATGTCATTTTACATTTATGAAGTCGACATTAATTTCGTAAAGATGACAATTACATGGATATGTTAGGCAAATAATGTCATGTTTTACAAATGTTCTTAATACCATAAAAACACTTTAAAATGTCAATTATGGCAATTTCGGATTCAAAGTAGAAAATAATTCGTACAAAAATATTGACTGAAATTAAATGTAAAAAATTATATTTTATAATGTAAAATATAAATTAAAAGTCAATTTTTCAAAAAAGAAATTAAAGGAAGAAAACGACTTTTACTCAACCGAACTAACTCATAAAAGAAAATAAAAGTCAATCTTTCAATTGGAAGAGAGAACGAAAAATCAATAAATAATTAATAACAGATCTTCTCGGAAAGAAGAAAATTAAATAAAAAAATATCAATTGGTCCTAATCAAACAACAAGCCACCAACTTCTCTATGAAAACATAAAGTTCTATAAAGTTGCACCGCCCATTGAATTCAAAGAAGAGAAAAAAAGAAGGAGAATTGAGAAGAAAAGAAAGAGGAGAGGAAGAAGAAGAATGAAGAGCAAGAAATTAAAACTTACATGTGAGGATCGCCGTCATCCGCGATGACCGGAGTTGGAGAAAAAAATTTTTTGTTTGTAATTTGCTGCATCGGAGATGGAGAAGTGAGAAAAATCAGACCTGAAAATGGATGAGGGGGAGGGGAGGAAGAGGAAGATGAAAGTGAGAGAGGTTGAGGGTTGCGTAACAACGTGAGAAAAGCCTGAAAAAAAAGGTAAGCTGACAAAATAAAAAGGGGGTAAAATTGGCAAAAGATACGGATCAAACAACTCATAACTCCTATTTAGGGAATCAATCGATAGAACTCCTATTTTGGAATTGTATCTATGTTTTACTTAATATGTAAACATTTTTTCTCAAATACTCCCTCCGTCTCTTAAAACTTTGTCATCTTTCCTTTTTCGGACGTTCAAAAAACTTTGTCACTTTCCCTTTTAATAAATTATTTTGTGGTTCCTGTTATTTGTCTTTCATCTGCACAAATCTCAACTATATAGTTTTTGCTCTATTATTCTCCGTGTCAGTCAATTTTGACAAAGTTTTAAGGGACCGAGGCAGGGTCGGTCCTAAGGAAATGAAGGCTCTGTGCAACAAAAATAATTGGGCCTTGTTTTCAAAGTTTCAACACAATTTAAAAAAACCGATCCGAAACCGCATCGACTCAAAAGGGACATGAAAGTTGGGACTCGAACATAAATCGGTTTAATGAAGGTTTTTTGAGTTATAAAATCGGTTTAAACCGAACCGAACCAATTTTTATTAAGAGGTATTTTTAATTATTTATTTTGTAGAACAAATAGGTAATATAAAGCTTGTACGTCCTTATTTCAACAATTAGTTGATTCGGTCCAATGAGTTGATGTTTAGAGATCAGCGTGCATGATTTTATTTTCACCTGGGTTCGAATCCCGCATGTCTCACTTCTTATCTTTTTAGTTTCTAAAGCTTAAGATTCCCACACCGGTGAAAACGGAAGATTTAGTACTCCTTCGTTCCTATATATACGCTCCACCTCTAAGTAATACTACTCCCTCTGTCCCAAATTGTTTTGCAAAGTCAACATTTTTGGTCAGCCAATAAAAAAAGTCAATGCTCCCTATCGATAATTAATTACATTTTTAATAATTAAAATTTATATATTCAGAAACTATATTAATATCTCTTCAAAGTTGTAAATTCCAAACAAGAATAATATTATTAAAAATTGACATCCTAATTAAACAAATGAAATGAAATTGTTTGACTAGGAAAAGTCAAATTTGCAAATCAATTTGGGACGAAGGTATTAGTATATTACTACAAAAAAAAATGGACCCTTCCAATGTTTTGGACCGTGTGCGGTTGGACACCCTACACACCCTCAGGTAGGGGTGAGCATCGGGCGAGTTCGGGTCGGGCGGGTGGGTAAAACCAATACCCTTTCGGGTTTCGGTTGTGTAATATGGATGCCCTACCCTAGGGTTTTTAACTAGTATATTTTCGGTTTTTTTTTTGCATTTCGGGTAGGGCGGGTTCGGTTCGGGTTGTTAGTCCCTGTTTCTTTCACAGCAATGAATAATCGATCTAACAAAGGAAGATTAAACGTAAAGATGAAACAGAATGAATCACCGTAAAACCTTCTTTGATAAACCGTGAAACGTACAGCAGAATGATAAGCGTAAGGCTATGAAATAATAAGTACGACGTTCAGCCTTTTCCTAAACCTCGGCTCCCTTTTTATAGGCGAGGTTTAGGTTAGGCGAAACAGGCTTTTGGCCTGTTTAAATGGGCCTAACACTTGGCCTGATTTCTATCTAATTTATGCACTTAATTAAATACAAGGATTAAATATAAAGCTAATCTATGACCAACTTGATTCACAATTAAATATCTCCAACAATCTCCCCCTTTGTGATCAAGTGCCATTCTCTTATTGCTTCTGTGATTTGAAGTAGTGCTTTCTCAATCCAAGTGCATGTTCATACTGTCTTAGCATATTTCTCTTTTCGAGGCGATCGTCAATGGCCTTTAAAATTGTCTCTACAGTAGAGTGTTCCTTTTGAACATAAGACGATGCCTCTTGAAGATTTTCTTCCAGCTTTGCCTTCATCCGTAGAATCTGCTCTCTGATTATCTTCAGTGTTCCGTCGCAGTACTTCTTGATTTCACTGACTACCATCAGACGCTTTTCGTTCTTGTGGTTCAGATAGGTGACTGCTGGCGGTTTGAAGAAGATGTGGTAGGCTGGGAAATCTTCAAGTTCTGGACCATACAGTTTTGGCTTTGTCAGATTTGTCTTCTTCAGATTGCATTCAATAGCCATCTGTAGGTCATGTGAAGAGCGTACTCTGATCTGTCTAAGCATGAATCTCTTGATAGCTGCGAGGCCTTCGCTGTATACTATGTTCTGCCTGACTGGAAGGTATCTGTAGGCCATGAGCATTTGGTAGATGTCATCCGGTTTCAGCATGATGAAGTCGTTCTCTTGACAAGTGAATTCGCTCCCATCGGTGCGTTGAAGTCTGAAGGTGTAGAATGTTACTCCATGATAGTCTTCAGCCTTCATTTGTAGAATTTGATGTATCGGGAGAATATTCGACTTCAGATCTTGTTCCATCAGTTCTCTCTGTGTACCGGTTGACCTTTGAAGCAACATATGTAGATGACCTCCAGCCTGCTTTCCTTTCAAGTGAGTAAGGCCTCTTAGCTTCAGTTCGTTCAGTGGCTTGACTTTGTCTGGTCTACGCCAGATATGCTCTCTGATTTCTTCTTGGAAGGGGGCTTTGATTCGAACGTTGTCCCAGGGTTTCTCTGTCTTGGGAAGTCTTCCCGCTGATTGTCTTACGACCGATTCAAGAGCTTTCTGGGATTCCTTGTAGTTCTCCCCTTCCTTGCGTTCATCGTCCTCGAGCCGTATAATATCTTCAGAGCATTTGTTGATCAGCTCTCGTAGCCACCAGTTTCTTTGCATGTCTTCTTGCTCGGCTTCAACCCGGAGATCATCCCATTCTGTCCATTTTCTCGGCCATTTGTCGTATATCACCGCCTCTTCCAGTGCATCATGGATGTCTTTGCCTGGGGAGATGTATGGAGTTCTTTGTTTAGGCGGTGATTGTTACTGTGTAGCACTACCGGGTTCACTAGGATTGCCCGTTGACATCAGCTTAGAACTGGGTTCCAACTGATGGCCTGATGGAGAAGATGTACCAGTGGTATCATCATCAGGACTTCCATCCCCTCCTCGGTTGGTATCT